AATCGGAAAATAATAAGTATTAAAAAAGAGTCAAATTTTATCTTGAACGCCGCAAACCAAAAAGCGGCATTAAGCTCATTAAGACGTGCAACGAACAATACAATAATATGTCACTGATAATAAAATTCTTACGCAAGTAGATTGTAAATAATGTTGACGTATTACATAGATAGGAAGGTAATATCTGCTTAGTATGTCGATTGATCATCATGTCGATTTAGACCTGGAAAAAATGTTTTATGTCACGCGTTAACATTTCTTAAAAATATTGTATTACCTATGTAATAAATAGGTATTGTATACACCTGATGGAACTACGTCATCTTTTGCAGGCGCCAGCACCAGCGTCTTTGCCACAGAAATCTCTTCCAAATCGCTCCCTGTTCATTGTAATAGGTTAGCTACATCAGATCGTTTAGATCCAGACTAAGGTTATGATTGCAACAAAATAGTGATAAGGAATATGTACAGTATCTTTCTCGTCTCGAAAAAAAAATACATTTTGAGGTTAGAAATGAACCTGGACAAAAAATATTACTTACCATCTGATAACTCAGTCTTGTCGTAAACCTCACGTCTTAAGGCACGCGTCCGTCGAGACGTCCGTCTGAACGCGTAGTGTTTCTATATAGTTTGTTAGTTTGTGACACTTCACTCCGTAGGAGTAATTGTGTTCTGTGGTGACACTTGACAACAAAACTTTCTTTGGTGGAGACGAGGCTTTAGAGACTTGACAACCGCCCCCGTATGTACCGAAAAACGGTAATCCTCCCCTATATATAATGTACTCTGTGCGGTAAACAGTAAACCATAGATAATACACCAGGGCCGGTCAACTTCCTAATAGCAGATTGGCACCGGGAGATGACCTTGGGGGGCTTTAAAGAAGCGAGATGGAATAATATCTATCTCCCTCGCACGTTATGTTATATTGCCATGAAAGAAATATTATTTTAAATGACACATCATTTTAATCATTTTTTTATTTAATAATTATAATACATTGTTATATAATATATTTCGTTAAACATATATTTATTACGTCTTTATTGAAGTAACAAAATGTATAAATATGAAACTGCATACTATAATATAAAGGCAAGTTATGGCAACGGCAAATAAACAAAATTACAAATGGCAGATCCGTTACGCTTGCTATTGCGTTCTTGTTTATTTGCGTTGCAAATTAAGTTTATATTTCGATATAAACTTATTTCTTACATTACTAACGTTGAGTTGAACATCCCGTTCCTCCGTTTTAGTGTTTACAGTGAGAAAGAGACTCAAAAACAAGTGCTGTGCATTGTGCTAAAGAGACAGAGACTCAATTTTATCTTTCATCATGAAAGAAAACGAAAGGAAATGTTACAAGTGTGGATGTTCTCCTGCTCATGATCGTAACATCACCTTGCATCGTTTTCCTAAGCCTGGGAGAACAAATAGCGTACAGTACGTATGCTAAATAGCTTTTTGATTACTGATTAAAACAGTTTTAAAATGTTTAAATTTGAACCACTGAATTAATAAAGTAGCAGAAATAAAAATTATTATGGGCCGCATCGGCTAAACAAACCTAAGATACATATTAAGCGATTTAAAAACGTGTGCAAATAAATCTGAAAATTAGAGAAATTATGCAGAACAGCATGAGGTTTATCACATAGAAATCATAACATAATAAAAAGTTCTAGATGTATTGGTACACATAAAAATAACTTGTGGAATAATATTTATATATGTATACAATACAATCACATTGTTTGAAAGGAACAATCTTGTATGCACTCTTCTTCCAAGCACGTTTTTAGCACCTCAGTAGTATATTATTATCTAATTGTATTTTTTCAGATGTGAATTATGGGCGAAGTACTGTTTTCCTCATGAATCTTGGTGGTCACCAGAATTTCAAAACAATCTTCATTCTAGGCATTTAATGTTGTGCACTAAACATTTTAAGAAATCATCATTCATTGATAATTTTGGAAAGAGGCTAGTCAAATCTGCAGTACCTGATGAGGAATGTGATAAGGTTAGTTAATCTTTCTTTTGTTACTATCTACATTTTTTTCTTTTGCGTGGCTTTTCTCATACTACAGTGAAAATATTATCTAGTTAACAAACGGTGGTAGCAGATTGAGTGGTGATTTATAAGGGTATGCGACGTAACCTACCATTACTTCTCAACCATAAAAAAACAAAAGATATAAACTTTAAAAAAAGTTATCTTTTATTTTAAAAAAAAACCTTATCCATACTAGGATTTTCTCCTCTTTGTGGAGGCAGTTTACAAACATAAATTGGATGAGGACAAACAACCCCCGGCACAATTATTTATAGGCCTTGGGTCAATTTAAAATCAGTGGCAGAAAATGTGACTGTAAATTTCGAAAACAAAAGAAAATAAAATTCTGTTTAACTTAGTTGTATAGGTATTTATGCTATGTAGATATCATTGTTAAATGCAATATCGTGGTTGGGCGCGATGTCTTGCCACTATTTTTAGATTTTCAAGTAATTTACTAGTGCAGGGTAAAAAAAATTACAACTCTGTTACCATCATATATTTATTCATATTTAAACAACAAACAATTATTTTTAGAAACATTCTTTGTTATGAACATTAATTAAGTCTTTACTCTCATGTTCAACATGTAAAATTACACAATAGTTCTTCTTAAGTAGGAACAGTAATGGAAGTTAAATATACTCTGTTACTTCCTTTGTTTTAATGATCAAATTTTCACTATAAACTATGTAAATTGAATTAAATTATTAAAATATAATGATGATGTTGTGTATAGATGAGAATATTAAATTAATAAACAATGCATAGAGTCAGGTGTCAGCTTTTCATAAAATTCGAGACATTACTCTTATATATTTAGGGACACAAAAGTAACAAAGTTGTAGGAACAATAACATAGTTGTACTATTCGCAACAAATTTATGAACTACTATCACAAAAAACAATATTTTTGGCTATGAATTGTTTTAAGAAGTTTAGAAACTTAACTAGATTATAAAACTTAAGGGGAAAAAGCTAAAAAATCTTATTGAGATCAAATTAAACCTAAGCTGATAACTTATTTTTCAAATATCTCTAGTGGAGTATGGAACTGGTAATATACCCTTTTGCGTTTATTTACTTTTTAGGTACTGAAACAACTTATGAAACTCTCATATTGTTCATATGATATATCATTTTAAACGAATTTGTATGTTTTTCTAGTATTGTCAACAGAATTTAAAAAGACAATTTTTGACTTCACCATCATCGTCTACTTCGCTTAATGCTTTGCCTAGATAAACACTTACTTTCAGAATTGTAAACTTTAACTAAGACCTAGACTCCTTCTTTGATTTTACTTGGATGAATATTTTCTTTATGAATCAAGTGATTCTCATTATTTTTTTCTTTAGACAAGCAGGGTTGATCTGTTGCCTTATCTTTTAATCGTAGCAAAGGATTATCATCATCTGATTCCGAACTCGAACTGTAAATTACATTGTAAAAAGATTTCCTTTTCTGTTCAATCAAATTACTTATATCCCCTAGATTAGTAGAATTACTCCTTTGATTCTTCGACTGTATCCTTTAGTGGACAATAGTTTTTTGGATTCATTCATGAGGAGAAACCAAGCTAGCAGAAACAGCTCAACTCTCGATATTTCAGCGCTCCCACTTCTTCTGTAATACACTAGTAGTACACTTGATGTACTTTCATTATACCATAGAAAGGAACAATTTCTGCTGGAATTTCATTCGCGATTCTTTCAATATCATAATCAGTTCAAGATTGACCTTTACTCTACTGCAGGATATCAGTTTTTCTTTGAAGAGCAGATGCAGAGTACTCTTCTGCAAATTGCCGATTTTTCAAAATACAAAATCTCTTCATACAAATGTGAAATACGCTATTAAATAAGTAATCTATATTCATATCTTTATGTTCTGGACATTTATCGAGAAACTCCAAATTTATTGAGTTTTTGAACAAAACTTTAATTGTCCCTTTTAATTTTTTTTTTATATGCTTCTGCCTCTAAAACATAAATCATCGTAGTACTACTTTCAATACAGTTAATGAGGTTTTTAGAGGCGTATTTAAGAGACTTTTTTAGATCACTATATTCTTTAAAGTCAATAAAAGTATGTGATCTCTCTTGTCCCTCAGATACAAAATTTTTTTTACAAATTTCACATTTGTTGAGATTATTTTTTACTATAAACCCACAGACATACGCACATGCTTGTATTTTGCCACTGCTTTCTTCCAAGCTACATTCAAATGTAGAATTTACACTTTCTTCTAACTCATCGGTTAAAATTGTGGCATAAGCAGTGTGTGTCTGTGGGTAGAGACAATAAAGTTTTAAAATTTGTCAATATAACTTGACTTGAAAGTGTTTATATTAGATTGTCTAATCTTTTTTATATAAAACCAATGTACCTTTACTTTCCATTTTGCTTAAATGTCATGTTACATATGCCATGTTAAAAATTAGTTAATTACTCCGTCACTTACGTCCATCAATGTACCAACGGTTTTTCTATGTACCAATGTAGACAAGTATGTAATGTAAATAAAAATTATGTATTTCAAAAACCACTTTTATTTGAAAAATAGTTCCTTTTTTATATTAAAATGATTGCTAATCGTTTCAAAAGTGGTTTATGAATGTAAAGTACCATAATTTACAAATAACTTTGTGCTTTTGTTTTCGTTTTAATTTAGCAATATATATCATTGAAACGAAAAACTACAAGCTATATCTATCTATATGGTATTTTACATTCTTAAGCCATTTTTGAAACGAAACAACCAAGACGACAACTAAAAAAAATCACGTGTCAAAATTCCCGCGCAAAAAGTTTTAGGGGGCACGACAGAGATGGCGTGCATTATGGGTGCCATTTTCTTTGTTTGAAGTTGACATTCTTCCCGCCTAAGGGTATTAGTGTTCTGTGTAATACACTATATATACAGTAATAAGTAGACACACTACAGAACAGAACACTATTACAGACTGAGACATACTAAACAGTACATCTGTATTCGGATTCTGTACAGTAGGCATGTATGTACTAGTTATAAAAGCCATTTGGATAACATGCTTCTATCTCTAATCTGTTAATAATCATTAATTTCTACATAAGTTCATAATGGCTGCAAAATCTTATGATGTTATTATCTTTCAGTTCACCTGTTGAAATATGTTGCAATGTTTAAAATGCGCTTCTGCAATAGTAAAAAATGAGCAATATTACATTGTTGGAGATATGGGTCCAGAAATCATTACCATTCTTGAAAATCTAGGTCAATTGGTGAGAACACACAGACTTAAATCAGATTACTTGATAATATCTGGTCCATTAAAAATTATAATTTATTAAAATATGATTGTTCTGTTTAGATGGATGAAAATGAACCAATATGTTCACAATGTTTTGCAAACATATTGCAAGAATTATCTGTCGGCACAAATCCTGAAAATGATCTCCAGCGCCCTAATGCCAATAGTATCAGTATATTGTGTGTTTGGTGTCAACGGAGACTGGGTAGCGGACGTTGTCACTCTGTTTCAGATGGGCCTGAAAGATATTTTATCTCCGAGAGAATTTCTCCAAGACAAGTTAGTATTTATGTTTATATAAAGGCTTACTAATCTGAATATTCATTATTTCAGCATTAAATAAAACAAACAATTATGTATCAAATGTTTTTTTTAATATTTAATTAGGGTGGCAAATGAGCACACAGTCCAACAAATGGTTAAGTGAATACTGTGGCCTATAAACATCTACATTTATTTTCGATTAAGAATCAAAATGCAGTTGCGTTGTCACCCCTGAGGACTATGATGGAATGCCTCGTTTTCAGTAAATAGGGTCTCCGGTTCTCTACACTCACCATACGAAACACAGCAGCATAAAGCAGCTATTTTATGCTGGTATTCTGTGAGAGTGTGGTTATTCCGCAGGTGAGCTGACCCATTAATATTATTCATGTATTTCATTAATATTATAATAATACTTGACTGCTTTGTTGGTTCAGTGTTCATAAACGCGATTGCTGGTCATGAGGTCCTGGGTGTGAATCCTGGGTCAGGTCAAAATCAGTAATTGTGTTTTTCTGTCAAGAAATTGTCAGTAGCAGTCCAGAATTAGGAAGTTGATGATATTTCACTCCCGTGCCTCAGCCCCGATCGATCCCACCCAATTGCTATAACCATACAATAGCAGCAGCATGGCTCTACCATGTAGTAATAGGTATTATGTTGTTACAGATACCTGAAGGTGCAGTGGTATGTTATCTTTGTTGGACAGAAGCTCAACAAACTTTACGCAGACAAGGAGTTTCATACGTGCCATCACCTAATACAATTGTTTGTGTATGGTGTCTTCGGTCACTAGCCAACACACGTAGGCACTCAATACCGGATGGCCCAGAACGAAATGAAATTATAGCTAGGATCCATCCTAGAGAGGTAATCTTTTATGTATTATCTAAGTCTATATTTACTAAGTAAAAAATGCCTCTTCAAAATAATCCAACAGTTAAAACTTATTGTTTTGGACAGATATTTGAAATTCTTTCTATTTTGAGTTATTTGCCAATAAATGGGTTGTGAGAAGTAAAGACTGTCTAAAAACCTCCGAAGGAGGCGGAGTTACAGCTGAAATAAAAAAATTTTATTTGTTGGTTTCGTCATTTTGACCCGATAGGAGTGTAATAAGAACTTTTTGCCTCTATTTAACCATGACCCCATGACATCCTCTACATGATAGGCTATCGAAATTGACTATGCTTAAAGTCCGAGCCACCCCTCAACTCATTTCTAGTCTTTATTTCCAATTATTTGCGAAAGATCAGCTCTCTATGCACAGGGACCTATGAAAATATGAATTACTAGCTTTTGCCGGTGACCTTGTCCTTGTGTAGTTTGGTTCAAAAATCGCTCGGGAATCCTTTGATTTTCCAGGATAGAAAGTAGCCTAAAGATCCATAACTATACCCAGGCAAAAAAATCACTGATCCCATAGCTCTGTTACAACATGATTGAATGACAAAGAAACACATTTTTGTATTTATAATATTAGTAAAGACATTTACAAACCTAATATTATAGAAAATAATGAAGAAAGAAAACATATTTATTCATTAATGGTGCCACAGATAAACTAATAATTTACTAAAGTAACATCAGTTTATTGCCTAACATCATATATTAAAATTAGGTTATCTCCGATTGAACCTATGTTTGAAACTAAAATATAAATATATTAAACTTAACTTACTTTTTAAACCAATGTTTGAAATTAAATTAAAATACAAAATAATTAATGCTAAAATGTGCAACTATATTTTATAATTTATTTTTATACAATATTCTTTTTAATCCCCTACAGATTCCTCCTGGCGGATTTGTCTGTTATGCATGCTGGGTTGCAGCGTGTAGAAATGTGCAAAGAGCTGCTAATATCGAGGAAGGGTGGCAAAATCCAGGACCTTCATATCAACATTATGGAGCTGACTGTGTGTGGTGTAAAATGTCTTTATTTCAAAGGCAAGTTCGTATTTTACGTGATGGCCCTGAAAGGGATATAGTGGCAGAAAGGATTTATCCGAATGAGGTAATTAAATATAGTATTTTCTACATTTTATATAAGCTTCATATTTCTATTTTACATTATCAACCCATTGCCGGCCCACTATTGGGCATAGGTCTCTTCTCAGAAAGGAAATGTTTTAAGCCATAGTCCACTGCATACACACACCTTTGAGAACTGTATTGAGAATTCTCAGATGTGCAGATTTCCTCATGATGTTTTTCTTAAAGCAAAAGATATGTAATTGCTTAAAACACATGCATAGAACGCAAAGAAAAGTTAGAAGTGCATGCCAGGTATTGAACCCATTCTGGTACGCACTTCTTATTCGATACTAAAGGCAGCTGAAGTCTTAACTACTAAGATGATAACTACACTAAGACATGTCATATTATATTAACTTACCACTTATAGTCAATGGTTCATTTGTATAGTTTTAGTTATTGAACACATTGTTTATAAGTAAGCTATACTTAAATATATTTTGTTTCAGTTACCAGAACATGCCCTCGTATGTGTTGATTGCTGGGCACGGGCACAAGAATATGTGAACAGTTCTGAAGGCAGTGTAGTGCAGCCGGCTGGAACACCGAATCCTTGGATAAACCTGGCAGATGATTACAAGCATACATCAAATTCTAGTAGACGTTGTTTCGTTCCATTTTGTACGAACCCAGAGAGGCTTAGTGTGCCAGATTTTTTAAGGAAGAGGATTTTGCAATCAACAAAAATATATGTCACAGAAAATTGCAGAATTTGTGCTAAACACCGAAATACCTATAATTGGGAGTTTTTAAAAGAAAATGAATTTTCAAGTACTTTCACACAGGCAGAAATAAAATCAATGCTAAACCTCAGCCTATGTCCAGATTCAACCAATAATTAACTTTTTAAATTTAACGTTTTTTACATTTATAACAACCTTTTTTAATTTTATGTCACGGGGAAGATCTATTTATGAAGTACCGCATAGGGGGTTAAAGGAGATGTTCGATTTTGGGCTACCACTATGTACACTACATAGATAAATAGGAAAAAAATTGAGGAATTTCATAAAATACTAACAAATTAATTTGAAAAAGGGTATAGTCGTACAAAAATGATCATTTAAAAATATTTTTGTTATGATAACCCTATTTTAAGGGCAGCCATGACAGTTGTGTTAGATAATAGATATGACGTTTGACGACTTTGACAGTTTTAAGAAGTGACTATACGTCTTTGAGTCTTTCTTTATTGATTAATCTTTAGCGTTATAATATATGTACTGTTATTGGATGTGTTTCGGAATTTTTAGCGATTGTTTTTATTTTGCGACCCAGTTTACTACTACGGACATTGATTTATTGCTTCTCTGTTGACCCTCTGTTTGTTATATGGTTTATAATACAAGAAATGTCTAATGATAGTGCTCTTGCACGCGGAGATCACAAGCTCCAGCATTGCCATGATAGTAATGTTTATGTTAGCTGTAGGACATCTTTGTTTAGGTGTGCTCACTCTATTCCCGAGGGTGCCGAAAAGCAATATATTGCTGAAACAATTACTCCAAGAGAGGTAAGCATCCCTTTTGTTTTCTTTTTTATTCATACAAAGGTATGCAAATGTAGATGTTTCTTAATTATAGTCAAAGACAACATTGTTTCAAGAAGAAAAAGAACAGTCACAATTTAATTTTTGGAAATGTGTGTAGACATGTGATTTATATATAACATCACCTCGGATGAGTCTATAAAAGTGATATTGAAATAACTAAATCTTTATTAATTTAAATTATTTAGAAATATTGTGATATAAATAAATAAATCTTAATTTCATAGAATATAATAGAATGATTTTATATTCAATATTAATTATTACATAATACTTATTGAAAGTCATTTTTTATTTACATTTTTTGTTTTAGATACCTGAAGGTGCTTTAATATGTTTTGCTTGTTGGGTACATACTTGGCGTACAATACAACAACAAGGAATCATAGCAGCTTCTACTGTTGTTATGAATATGAATGTATGTGTATGGTGCCGATGTTCTCTTGCCCAGACACACAGCCACTCCTTACCTGAAGGACCTGAACGGACCATAATAACAGAAACAATATATCCAAGAGAGGTAACATTAATAACTTACTTAATTACCTAGTGTTGGAATTAAATAATTGTGTGAATAGCTAATACATATTGTATTCTTTTCTTTTATTCAGATTCCACCAGGAGGACTGGTTTTCTATGCTTGTTGGGTAGCAATATGTAAAAATGTTAAGCATGCTACAAGGATTGAGGATAATCGGCAAACTCCAACCCCATCTAGCCTTCACCAAGACTAATGTATGCATGGTGTAGAATGTCTCTACACCGAAGGCTAACACACATGGCTAGTGGTCCTGTAAGAGACAAAGTTGCAGCAAGAATTTACCCAAATCAGGTTAGATTGTTTTAATTTACCAAACCACCATACATAAGTAATGTTACCGTACATTCAACTATAAGTAACCTTATCTGTTGCCCCTATAAGTAAATTGTTTCTTGTATTGTTTCAGTTACCAGAACATGTGCTTATTTGTTCCAACTGTTGGACACATGCACAGGAAAATATAGGAATAGAGCAAAAAATGTGTTGCTACAAATTGATATGCAGCCACCAAGTGCATCAATAACACTTGATGGTTTTACACACACAACACAGACAAGTGCTCATTGTTTTGTTCCGGCTTGTAACAATGTAGAATGAAATAGAGTGCCGGAATACTCAAGAAAAATTATATATATATATATATATATTTTATTATTATTATTATATATAATCAATCACAGAATAAATGATTTAATTAATAGGAATTTATTAATACCCGAAGGCTTGTTTGGAAACAGAGAGGCAAGAGTACCAATAATAATATGTGATGGTACCTATATATATCTTCAAAAATCATCCAACTACTTGTTTCAAAAATAAACTTATAGCTTGCACAAATATAGATACCTTGTTAAACCTTTTCTCATTGTTGCCACTGATCGTTACATTATTGATATTTTGGGGCCCTATCCAACAACCAAATCAGATTATGACACCATGAAAGCTTTGTTCCAAAATGAAAATGAGGGTCTAAGGGCTTTTTTTCAGCCCAATGATGTTTTCATTTTGTATTGAGGCTTTCGTGATTCCATTCCAATGCTAGAGGGATTGGGCTTCAAAGTATTTAAACATGAATCCTTAGAACAAGGAGAGACTCAGTTATCGACCATCAATACAAACAAGACAAGGTGTGTGTGACACTATGCAGATGGGTGGTAGAGATAGTTAATGGTCGATTTAAAAGAGACTAAGCAACTGAGACACGAATATTTTGATTTGGCTGCCACCCATTTGATGGATAATGTTATAATTAATGCCTTCCATCCAGTGATTGAAAATAGACCAAATGCTGTAGCTATACTTGCACAATACGGAGTGAAAATATGCCCAATCGGTTAGCAGAGTTTATAATTGCTAACCGGATCAACCGCTTTAGAGCCCAATTCATAAGAATTGATGGTCAACTTCCAGAGTTAAGTATTTTCCCTAAAATGACTATGTCTGAATTGATACTTTTTGGGTTGGGTACCTATCAAATAAAACTGGCTAGAAGCTATTTCGGGGAACATATTAGGCAACATGGATCATTCCAGGTAGAAGTATCGGACCAACTGGAATTAGTAGCAGAAGCAACCCCATTCCAACTTGATCCTTTTTTAATAAAAGCCTGTATAAAAACTCGACATAGCTCAGGACGAACATATTATACCTACATATTGCTGGCAAGGGAAGGATCAAGTGGGGATGATAAAATAATTAGCTATTATTGTAATTGTATCTCCGGACATCGGACAATGGGTTGCTGTGCTCATGTCATGACCACTGTGTGGTGTTTGTGTTGGGCTCAGTACCAAGAGAGCATAGAAGCACCGGTGTCATTCCTGGATGGAATATTAATAAGGGATGATGTGGAAAACGAATAAAATCATAAGTTCCAGCAAGTTGTTTTATTTATATACCTCTTATGACTGATTTCTCACGTTTTTGATGTCGCTAATACTAGGAATTATATAACATAGAACTTGTTTGAAAAATTGATAGTGTTAAGTTGGGACACTGGGCTAGCGTGGTGGATTACACAGTCCAATCCCTCACAGAAAGGAAGTATATGTCTCAGCAGTGGGAACATTATAGGCTGATTATGCTGCTCCTGCCTAATTTAATTAAAATAGTTGGTATCTTCTCAGCTGTTACTGTGTAATAGGAATAGTTAACTACTTTAACAATAACTTGCAGTTGTCAGATACTGCACAGCTCACTGCTCGCCTATGAATTATCGAAGTCCAGAATATATTGATAGGCACTAAAGAATAAAGCAGTAGGAAAGTGTTAATAAACAAAATAACTTTCAAGCCTTCGTTCCATTTCGATATAACCAATCTCTAACTACTCTAATAGGTGATATAAGATGTGCTGCCGCAATCGAGTTGAATATCCTGTAGTCTAAGTTTATCGTATCCGTCCAAGATTTTCGAAATTCGTGTTGTTTTTTTTTATTGTTGATATTACAATACACGTCAATCAAATATTAAATGTCAAAATGACATTTCGTGTTTTCTATACTAAGTCTATGGTTTTCTCTGTGTGATCCACCATGTTTAATTTAATGTTGTGTTGCTCTCCTTGACTAAGTTAATTTGAATGTACATTTAAACGAAGTGAAATTAAAGAAAACTAACAATAATAAACGGTTACTATATTATATAGCGGTATTTACATATAGTGTACATAGTGCTAGCCCAGGCTCCATACATTTCTGGAACATCTCCTTTATTAACATTCATGTCTGCAGATTCTATGTTTTTTAGTCTCCATCCACTATCTTTTTTTTCAAATGCACTATTTTTACTAGTAATTGTATCAATAGAAAGAAAAAAAAATCGGTTGTCTGTAAAGTCGGTTTACTGACGATAGTTGAACGTGACAACGCCGATTGTGCCTCTTTGTCGCTCGTTTCGCGCTCTCGCTTGCACTTCAAGCCTTAAATGGAACGCCTCAGAGCGAGGTAACGCCGCATGAGTCATGTTTTTTCGTGCGTGCAGCCAGCTTCATCGAATTATAAGACGTTGTCACGTCAACATTTAAGTCATCTCCTTAACAAATAATATAGTTAAATGTTTGAAAAACGTATCATGAATATCTTTAGTTTGTTGAACAAAATCAGCATGCAATATGAAATTTACTTTAAAAATTATGTGTTGATGAATACTTTTATTGTATTAAAAATGAAATATCATCTTTAATAGAATTTATAAATAGTTCAGAAGTTTCAAAATTTACCCATGTCGAACGATCTACTCTACTCTTGATTTGATAAGTTAAAATCTTATTTCCAAAAGCAGATTCAATAACATTTACGTTTGATAAAAAATTACGTGAATTTAAAAGATTATTTTTGTGAACATTATTTTTAAAATTATTAGGTATTATTGATAAATATACCTATGACACATTGGACATTCCACTTGATCATTGTTACCGACACTGTTCCCTGCAGAGGTAGACGCTTCTTCTTCCGTTCTTGGTTTTTTGATGATCTTGGGTTCTTCGCTGCTCGTTCGCTTCATTCCTCTTCCAAGTTGTAGTGGTTGACGGCTAAAATGTTTAAATTTATTAAAAAAACGAAATAAGATAATGTGTAAATTATGATCGAAATTTATGTTTATTTTACTTACTTAAACTGTGTGTTCAATCATCGCACAGTGATTATACAACTCATCATCATATGATGAATCGAGCAGTTCACGCTTTGCCATTTCATCACAAACTTTAGACAACTCCTGATTTAATTGGCTGTTGCCATATTCTCTTCCATGGGTGTGGAAAAGAAAGCACTGGTGCACACTTCACCGAAGTTTCCCATCTTTTTAGTAAAGAAAGAAAGACTGTCTGTAAGCGACGCATTATAAAATATTTATTTATTATGTGACTATTTGTTCCCTAATGCTATTTATATATTATGTATATTGTTTGATTCTTGTGTACCGTCATGTTAGAAATAAATTAAGTAAGAAGCGCTCTCGAACAACCGCTGCACCTACAAGTACACTATCGGAGATCATTCCTTCGACGGGTGGTTGCGCTCATACACTCGTTGCACGCGACACGGTTCTTCGAACGCCTTTAATTTACTCGTGAAATCGTGGTTTCATTCTATAATCTATAAATTGGTCCTTCGAGCCGGATCTAACCACAACTATGTTTAGTACTCCACCAAATAATAGAACTATGTCGATAAAAAACCGCGAAAAGTTAAACGAGAGATTAGAAAACGCGTCCGAGCTCGTGCTTGCGAACGACAGAGTTGCGGGCAGTTTGCAAAAAGTTGAACCTTCTGGAAATAAAGTTCCATCTCTACAAAGATCGACTAAAATGAATCGGTCACCTCGGCCACGGAATCTTCATCGTCACGCTTAAGACGTAAACAGCTTGAGCTGGCAGCTGCTGAGGAAAAAGCAAGGATTCCGATAAAGCTTATTGACAAAAGGCTTGAGTTTAATTTAGCAAAGATGGAAGGCAGCCGTGCGTCAAATACGAGTCAAGTTAGTAGAAGCATCAAGAAGCAGCCTTTTGTGGATCAGCAGCTGGAGACCAGCAATTTGCAGCCGTCACCTTTACTGCAACATAAGGCGGCAGCGTCAACGACATCGGAGGCAGCGCGGGCACCTTATGTTGACCCAGTCCGTGCACCGGCCCATCACACGCCTGTCGACAGTATCCTTCAACTCGCTCACACACTTAAGGACATCATGATTACGTCGTCTAGTAATCAGGAGGAACGATTGCTTACCCGACTGTCTACACCTAAAGAACTACCTGCATTTAGTAGAGATTGCATCGAATAGTTGCACTTGAGTGCCTATGAGGAATCTACATGTGTGTGTCAATTTAATGACTCCGAGAACCTATGGCAACTACGTCGAGCACTCAAAGGTGATGCCAAGGAGGCAGTCACTGACCTATTAATCGGCAACACGTCACCAGCTGTTGTCATGGAGGCACTGGAACTGAGGTTTGGTCAATCTGATTTAATTATTCATTATCTCACTTCTCATATGAAAATGCTATCTCCATTGTCTACTAATTATCAGCATGATATCATTTTGTTTTCAATGAAAATTAATAACTGTGTCGCAACCCTATACGCATGAAATCAGCATGATTATCTACGTAGTCCAGAACTGTCAGCTACAATACTCTCCAAGCTACCTAGTATATTGTTAAGTAAATGGACCGACTACGCATATAATAAGCTATCATGCAATATACCTAAGCTTCAAATGATAGGTTCATTTCTCAAGCAAGAAGCTGAAAAAGTTTCAGTTCTAGGAGTCACACATTTACTAGACTATAAAAAAACCGAACCCATACCACCTGGCAGAAAGTTTGATGATAAATCTCGCTTCAATAATTACAACCGACCTGTCTTAACTACAGCCTCGGTAACAACCAGCACTAAGTTATGCAATTATTGTAAAAAATCGATGCACATATTACCTGCCTGTCG